AAGGAGAGATTGCTTAAACAAGCTATCTCTTCCTGAAATGTTTTTCTCCATATCATAGTGGGTTCCTAAACAGTGCTAACCATAAGTTAAGAAGCTCAGCTCTGTGACCTTAATTAGTTGATTAGAACCTCTGGCCTACCCTGCTGACTGAAACTCACCAAACCTTAATAAGTTTCACACTGAAGGCTTTTGTTGTCAGACACAGGAAATTTGGTTGTAAATGCACTCATTGGTCAGAAAATGATTATTTTTTAAAATTACCATTGTATTTGCAAATGGTTGCTAAATGAGGTAGCTGCTAAACAAGGAGTGGCTGTATTTTCAAGTACCTGAAGAGATATTGCATGAAAGGTGAAATCTGTCCTCTGGTGTTCCAGAGTGCCCATTCATAAGTTGTGGAAAACTTTAGCTCACCCTGTCAGATTTGTTCAAGCAGAGGCTGGACATCCATCATCAGTTAGGGATGCTGTATATTGGATTCCCACGCTGAGCAGAGGATTTGGACTTGATGGTCTAAATGGCCCCTTTCCACTTTAATGTGAAGAACAAACTAGTTAGACAAGTAGTCGGCATATGTAAAACAGAGGCTGTCAGATACTGAAAAAGGATTGCGGAATTTATGTATTTTTTTTACTATTCTACCTTTTCTCTAAGAGTTCAAAAAGACATACTAAGCATTCCTCCAGTTTTATTCTTACAACAACCTGAGAGTTAGGTTGGTGTAGTAAGTCCATATTTGTGCTGGAATTATAAAATGCATGAAACATTTGGAGCTACATATTCCAAAACAATATACCATATATGCCCAATTATTATTATTATCAACATTTTTTTTGCACCTTTGAGTCAGTTTTTGACTCCTGGCGACTGCCTGGACAAGTCCCTGCAGTTTTCTTGTCAAGGTTTTTTGGAAGTGGTTAGGGCTGAGAGAGAGCAACTAGCCCAACCCATGCTATACCTCTCACATATCCTTGCTCCCTTCCATACCCGGTAGCAACCATTTACCTGCCTGCTGGCCTGGGACTTGCAACTTCCTGCTGGCTTCCCCACTGACTTTGGTTGTGGGAACCTGACAGGAAGTTGCCTCAATTAATGACTGTGGGATTTGGTTAACGACAGCAACCGGGACTGCAGGGATTGCGGTCACTAAGCAATGCAGTCACGCTTCACAACTGCATCTCTTAGCAACAGAAATTCTGGTCCCAATTGCCGTCATAAGTCAAGGACTACCTGCATTGTTTCTCAATTATATTGGCTAGGAATTCTGGCTATTGTAATCCTAACACATCTGGAGATAGACTGAGAAAAGCTGCATCAGGCTATACCCTTCTAGGTACAGAATGCTGAACTACATAGACTGGGTACTCTGAATCAGCAAAAATCTTTGTAATGCACCAAGTAAACTGATGGTAAAAAAAATAAAATAAAATGACTAAAAGTAGTTTACTAGATGAGTGATGGCTTTTGAAGTTGTTAGTGGTATTTTATGATACATGTATATTAAGTATGAAATTACAATCTATATTTATCTAACTATGCATGTTATTGTTCATTCTAGCTTTATTGGAGAAGAATCTGTTGCAGCTGGTGCAGGAAGTATTTTGACAGATAATCCCACTTGGATTATTGACCCTATAGATGGAACAACTAACTTTGTGCATAGGTACTTTTTTCAGCTCTTAGAATCACCACATGTACTAGATAAATAATATTTAAATGCATTGTAATAATTAAATGCCTTGTTTCTTGGCCATTAGAGGATGATCTTTGGTTCTGTTGTAATATGAAAATATTAGAAGTTGTTTTTCATTACTTTCTTTAGGGGTACCTAGAGTAATTTTATCCAAATTCTACTTTTCTAATTTACGGTTGTTGCTTCTGTCTTTCCCTTACAAATGCAATCTATTTCTCTTTTTGAACTTCAAGGTTTCCCTTCGTAGCAGTTTCAATTGGCTTTGTAGTAAAGAAACAGGTAATTGATTTCTCATTTTATCTTAACTTCTAATAGGAAAAAAATGTTTTCATCTCAACCGCTTCCCAAAATGTAAAATTAGATTTGTTAAAGATCTACAGGTGTTGCATTTTTCTTATTACAGATGGAATTTGGAATTGTGTATAGCTGCGTGGAAGACAAGATGTATACTGGCCGAAAAGGAAAAGGAGCCTTTTGCAATGGGCAAAAGCTCCAAGTGTCAAAACAACAAGGTGAAGCTTCGTCATCTCCGTTTTTATGGGTTAGGGTGGAAGTTCATGTCACAGAGTTTCATAAGCTTAAGGAAGCAGAGGACTGAACCAGCCTATTTCACACCAGTTATGCAATATTTAACAAGTCTCCACATTTTTAGTTTGGAATTTCTTTGCCCTGTTATTCTTTGAGCTTTTTCCCTTCTTATTTCCTTTCCAAGGAACTCCTTTTCATATTCAAGGCTTGGAAGCAAACCTCCTCTTCACTTCCAGCTGGCCAGCACAGGCTTTGTTTGTTTCCATTTCCGTATCCCCTTGTTGCTGATGTCAAACTGCAACTGAGAAAGGTTCTTTCCACTTTTTCTCATCCTCTTCCAGCACAAGGTCTCTTCTTTGGGTTCAGCTTTTGTTTTTTTAATTCCTGGCCTTGCTGCTTCTTGACCTTTTCCACTGACTTTCACTTTTCAGACTCCTTTTTATTCTAGATTATAAAGCCACCATAGCCCTTCCTCCTGTTGGCTTTCTTCCCAAATCTTCTTTCTCTTCCAAGAGCCAGTTTGGTGTAGTGGTGGAGGTGGAAACCAGGAGGCTTGACTTCTAGGCCTCCCTTAGGCGTGAAAGCCGGCTGGGTGACTTTGGGCCACTCCCTCTCTCTCAGCCTAACCCACCTCACAGGGTTGTTGTTGTAAGGAAAATAGGAGACAGGAGTATTAGGTAAGTTCACTGCCTTGAGTTATATATATAAAAAAGGGTAGAATAGAAATATAATCATAATCATAATATGCCTTCCAGAAGTCACACAGGCTTTGTTTGTTCTTATACCGCATTGTAAAATTGGCTTGAGGGATATAAATACCCAAATGTACTCCCGTAATTTACACTGCAAATCATTTGAGAACAGAGGTGAGCTCACCTGATGGCAGTCAGCCAGAGAAGTATATGAATTTTTCTATTTGCTCTATAACTGCTGCCCCACTTAGTGCAAAAAATAAATCAAATGCCCTTAGAAATGGGACTTATTCTGTGTGTGTGTTCTCTTAGCATATCGTTACTATCGCTTCTGCGTTAACTGGCAACAGAATGCTGTTCAAGCAATCTGCCTGATACCTCCATACCATGTTTCAGACAATTTGTCTTTTTTATTCTTTGAAGCATTGCCCAGAGTTCTGTGCCTGTTTGCCATTTTTTAAAAATTGAAATTTTAATTAAAAGAAGGCAGATTTGTGAGAAGCAGTACAGCGCATATCTAACTTCTGCAGTCAACAGGAGAATGAACCTGGAGAGTATCATATTGTACATCTGAATAAAATGCGGCCTCATTGCTCATTTAATATCTGTAGGTACCCCGACTCAATTGTCAGGGCTAGAGGTCACAAAGGATTGTTTAGAACTTTGTGGAACATAATTACTTGTACTTTTTAAGAAACATTTATGCCATATGTCTTTAGTTTGTTTTTTTCTTCATATTCAGGTCATAGATGTGCTGGTGAGCATTAAGTAAACCTGTGGACAGGGAATGCCTTTTTCTAACCCTTCTAGGCATTAGATACAAAATAAGTAATGATGTGCTTTAAACACAATGTTAGTGATGTTGATTTTGCTCTTTTTTAACAGCACTGTTCAAATGTAAATTAAATGGGATGCATTTTTTTTTAATTTTGCAGATATTACAAAAGCACTCTTAGTATCAGAATTGGGATCCAACCGTGATCCAGAAGTTTTAAAAACAGTTCTTTCTAACATGCAAAGGCTCCTTAGTATTCCTATTCATGGGTATGGTGTCTTTCTTATTTTCACTTTATTTGCATTCCTTATACATTTTGGTACATCAGCACAATGCAGATATTTCCAAGAACATGAGAATGTCCCCCTTCTTCCCTCAGGATCTGAATTAGGATTCAGATTAGGACCTCTGTTTTCAATACGTTGGCCCAGATGGTGTTAGCAGAAAACAAGCTATGTATAGTAAAGTAAAAAGATTGTAAGCCTCGCCCTGCTTCTTTTGACCAAGGAACTATGTGACTTTGTACACTGAGTACGGGTGGCAGTGCTGGAGAAAAAGAGAGAATAAATTAGGCGAGGAGTTAAGAAGAATAGAAATGAACCATTTCTACAGAGGTGTGCCTGCTTTTGGCAATGCAGGAGTTTATTTGCCAATTTTGAGGTTTGTGTGTCAAATGTCATTGATTTCTAAGGGTCTCAACAATTTTCCAAATAACTGTACTGACAAATTACCGTTTAATGTGTTATCTCTGTTAAAGAATCTATATACAGTCATAAAAATATATAATGTAAAAAGTCTCAGAAGATGATTGGCAAAAGCAAGGGATATAGTATGAAAGGGACAAAGTTAATGTGTTAACATTTCCACGGGCATTTGGAAGGAAGGCTGGCTCGATAGTTTCAATTCTACAAGAGCAGCCTGTTTAAAGATGACTTAATCTTGACTTATGCCATCCTGGTAGTGTGGTTAAATTCTTCAACTTATTTTTAAATGCCATCAGTTCAGGGGTAGTAACCGGAAAAAGGTCCCAGGTCCACTGAATGATGGAAAGGAATGTTTGGACGCTGCAACCTAATTCTCAACATCCAGAAAAGTTTGCTTCCTGTCTCTCAGACACATGATATATGGTCAGTAATTCCAGCTGACTGAAAAAGTCACATATTTGGCTTTAATAATTAGAATAAAATAATTAAGATGATATAGCAGGGTGCTATTATGAAGAGTAATATCCTGTTATTGGCTGTATCCAGATGTAGGTACATATGCAGTACTTCATTCTACTAAGTTCCACTCAGTTCCCCAATTCAGTCTTTGCTTCTGTGCTTTAGCATCCCAAATGATTAGTCCTTACCTTCAATGCCCAAATAACTGATGGCACTAATTCTGTGACCTGTTTTAGAATTAGAGCAGTTGGGACAGCAGCTATTAATATGTGCCTGGTGGCAACAGGAGGAGCCGATGCCTATTACGAGATGGGGATTCACTGCTGGGATATGGCAGGAGCTGGGATTATCCTTCTTGAAGCAGGAGGAGTGTTGCTCGATGTCTCAGGTAAAATATGTTGAAAACAAAATAAGCCCAGTTTTGTACAGTTGACAGTTCATGAGAAGAAGTCCTACAAGACTAATACTGTTAAATATAATTTGAGCATTTAAGTGTTTTCCACTCAGGGACACAAACCTGAGGATTTACTTGTAGAGAGGGCGGGAATGACAAAACGTGCATGACACACATCATTACGCAAATGTTGCAACTTTCGTATTTGTGCCAAGTATCAGGAACCGGGTACGTAAGAACAGCATTTGCATGACGACATCACCAAGGTTTGATGCAGAGGCTGCTGCGCATAAAAATACATCTAATTTCTGCTGCATTATACCCTGCTCTGAAACAAGCTAGGAATCATAAAAGAATAACCCTGACTTATCGTTTTCATTTTTAATATGCAAACTCTACCTCAGTTCAACATACTAAATGACCCATCACTGTTTTGTTAAGGGGCAGAACAAAGTGGGAGTATAATAATACATGTTCCCACAGCAAGGCAGGGCTTATAGAGGTGAATATGTGTAGCTCAGGGTTGAACTGTGGAGTCCTTGGGGTTCTCTGAG